CAAAGATGGCATACTGAGATGCCACTATACCACAGCCAGCCAGCACAACCTACAAAAGGCAGAGAGTCAGTGCAGATGACTGCACTGAAAGGAAAAGTGACTTAGACAAAATGGCAAGGTGCAAGCAATGTACTTAGGATACTCTCCGGAAGTGCCAGTTTATGGTCAATGGGGAACACTGCACCACAGGGCACTCTAGGACCTGTTATTCAAAAAGTCACTACTTTATGTGTTATTATACACAACAGAAGGCATTGCTGACTTTCTTAAAACAGAAACAGACAGACATACAGACAAAATGAGGAGACAGAGAAATTTATCCCAAATGAAAGACAAACAGGACAAGGCCACAGACAGAATCTAAGCGCAACAGATATAAGTAACATGTCTAGTAGAGAATTTAAAGCAATAATCTTAAGATCTTGAGAAAAGAGTGAAAGACATGAGTGAGACCCTTAACACAGAGATGAAGAACCACATAGCAAAGATAAAGGAGTCAATAAATGAAAAGAGAAACATAATTGATAGAATGAACAGAATGGAAGAAGCAGAGGAATGAATTAGTGAACTAAAAGATAAAGAAAAGTAATCAAGCTGAACAAAAGAGAGAAAAATAATTATGCAAAATGAGAATAGACTTTGGGAACTCAGTGAATCTTGGATATTGTGAATAATGCTTCAGTGAACGTGAGAGTGGAGATCTCTCTTTGAGATCCTGATTTCAACTTTTTGAATTCATATCTAGAAGTAAGACTGCTGGATTATATGGTAGCTCTGTTTTTAATTTTTTGAGGAGCCTCTATACTGTTTCCTAACATTTGTTATCCCTTGTCTTTTTGATGAAAGCCATTGTAACAAATGTGACGTGACATCTCATTGTAGCTCTGATTTGTACTTCTCTTATGATCAGTGATGTTGAGTACCTTTTCTGTGACACCTTTCTGTGTCTCTTGGCCATCTATAGGTTTTCTTTAAAAAAAATGTCTGTTAAGATCTTCTGCCCATTTAAAGATGGAATGCTTGGTTGTTGCTGTATATATGCATTCTTTACATATTTTTATATTAAATCTGTTACTCATGAAAGTAAAATAGATAAGTTGAACTTTATTATGATTAAGAACTTCTGTTCTGTAAAAGACACTATCAAGAGAATGAAAAAACAAACCATAGTCTGGAAGCAAAACACATATCTGACTAAGGACTTATATTTAAAATATAAAAAGAACTCTTAAAACAGCAATAAGAAAACTAATGAAAATGATTTAAAAAGTCTGAATAGGTACCTCAATATAGAAAATCTATAGGTGGAAAATAAGCATAAGAAGAGATGCTCAAAATCATTTGTCATGACTGAAAAGCAAATTTAAGCAATAAGGTACCATTGTACAAATGTTAGAATGACTAAAATCCGAAACTCTACCAATACCAATTACTGGCAAGAACATGAAGCAACAATAATGCTCATTCATTGCTTGTGGCAATACAAAGTAGTACAGCCACTTTGGAAGACAGTCTAGAGCTTTCTTACAAAGCTAAATGTAGTCTTATGAACTAGCAATTGCACTCCTAGGTATATACTCAAGTTATTTAAAAACTCATTTCTAGGATGCCTGGGTGGCTCAGTCAGTTAAGTGTCTGACTCTTGATTTAGGCTCAGGTGATGATCTCACTGGTTTATGGGATTGAGCCAGTGTTGGGCTCTGTTGCTGACAACAGAGAGCCTGCTTGGGATTCTCTCTCTCCCTCTTGCTCTGCCCCTCCCTTGCTTATGCACGCAGGTTCTCGCTCTCTCACTCTCTCTCTCTGTCTCTCTCAAAATAAATAAATAAATTAACATTAAAAAATAAAAACTATTCCCACACAAAAACCTGCACATAAATGGTTAAATCAGTTGTATTCAAAACTAGAAGCAATTAAGATGTCCTTCAGTAGGTGACTAGATTACCAAACTGCCATACAGTCACGTAATGTTGTATAGTTTAGTGATAAAAAAGTGAGCTATCACCCCACAAATGAATCTTAAATGTATGTTGTTTAGTTAAAGCTAGTTTGAACAAGATCTTTAATATATGATTCCAATTATATGACATTCTACATAGGCAAAACAAAGACAATAAACAGATTGGCATTTGTCAGGAGGTGGACTGGTGGGGAGGTAGGGTAGTTTGAATAAGTCAAACAAAGGATTATTTCCGATAATGAAACTATTCTGTATGATTCTGTGATGTTGAGTAAATAACCTACACATTTGTCAAACTCTTTAGGACTTTGTAGCACAAAATTTGAACCTCATTGTATACAAATAAAAAAAGCCATTTAGGAAGTTGAATGATACAAGGATAAAATGCAGAATTGACAAAACAATTTAACCACTCAAAACACTCATGAAATAACCTTGGTGAAAGGGTGGAAAATAGGTTGCTCACCTAATAACTCTGGAAATGAGTGGATTTTAAAAGGACTCAATGCAAGAGAAACTGTACAATAGCACTGTACTCTAATGATGAATCTGTTTTCTCCTGCAGAACATGTCAACAACTATGAGCTGCTTGTATTACTTTCTAGAGACTGCCATAACAAGTACCACACACTGGGTAGCTTCACCTCTAGAAATTTACTGTCTCGCAGTTCTGGAGACCAGGAATCTGTGATCACAGTATACTTAGGGCTATGTTCCCTCTGAAGGAAATAGGGAAGGTTTTGCTCTAGATTGTCTCCTAGATCCTGATAGTTCCTTAGCTTGTAGCTGGAAGATATTTATTCCACTCTTAACGTGGCCTTTGCTGAAGGAGATCGTTGAGAAGATGTGATCAGAGTTGACCTACAAGCTGTATCTCAGCAATCAAAGGCTCCACACTCCCTCCCCTGTCCTTTGAATGGATGCCCTGTGCAATATTCCCAAAGTGGGAGCTGGTTTTGAGGACATAGCCCTGGGGAAATAATGTGTTGTTGAAACCATCTGGATGGTATGTGTGACGGAACCCAGTTACGGCTTCCATATAGATTTCTAAGATACTAGTGGGCAGGTGTAGAGATCTATTAATCTTGTTGGTTGCTCAAGATAAGCCTGGTAAGGAAATTCCCTTGTTTATTAAACCTGCCACCTATCAATTTGGAGTGGCTCCTTTCTATAGTCTCTCTCTACTCTCTGTGTATAGCAGTCAGTTTCAGATTTCACCTGAGAAGCTTCTGAGGTTTTAAAGCAACAGGGTTCTTTTTGTGTTTATCTATGCGCAAATATCCCCTTTTTTTAAGAATCCTAACCATATTGAGTTACGAGCCCACCTGGGTGGGGGTGGGCTATTTGAAAATAGGTTTGATTTGAAAAACTAAAATCATGATAAAAACCCTGAGGAAGATTTTACAAAACTCCTAATCAATATTTATCAGAACTTGTCAACATTATCAAAATAATCAATAAGAAAAGTCTGAGACACTATCAGAGCTATGAGGAGCCTACAGAGAGATGACAAATATACTATGTTACCATGGATGGGATCTCAGAACATTAAAAGGACATTGCATAAAAATCTAGAAAATCTGAACAGAATATAGAATTTTAATTAATAATAATATATCAAAATTAGTTAATTATGTATAACCAAAGCACCATACTAATATAAGTTGCTAATGATAGGGGAAACTGGTTGTGCATTATGTGGAAACTCCTGTATTATCTTAACAATTTTTCTGTAAATCTAAAATTACTCTAAAATAAAAAAATAATTATTGTTTTTTTTTTAAGATGGAATGAATTGTTTGTCTTAGGCCTGTAACCTACTCTTTCATCCTGAATTCTTTTTCTCTAAGGCAATTAAAGATAATTGCCTTATATATTTTTACAACCTAGTTACTATTTAGGGAATATAAAGTCACGATTTCAACCTTTGTAACTTTATTAAATTTGAAAGTTAATGTTATTTTTTCTCCTTAGATGCAGTTTCTATTGTGTAGTGAAATAATTTTCCTATTATTCCAAGAAATAAATTTTCTCTTTGCTTTTTTACCAAGTAGATGTTGACTTAGACAAGCCACTAACACTGAAGAAGTAATTCTCCGATTTTTTACCTACCTTTTCATTTTTCTTTATTTAAATACTATACATATACACCTTCAAATTACATATAATTAAAGTTGATTAGTGTCATATATGCTTGCCTTCACAAATCATCATAATTGAAATAAATTCAGCCAATGCAAAGAATCTTGGAATTTTATAATTTTAAATAATACGGATACTTCCAATACTCTAGCTGTAAGTGGAGGAGCCCACAGACCCCAAACAAGAAACTACAGTACAGCTAGGGTATCTGGCTTGTTCAGCCTGAAGACTGTGGAGCTCTTGATCGTGGGGTTGTGAGTTTGAGCCCCAAGTTGGGTGTAGAGATTACTTAAAAAAATAAAATCTTAAAAAAAAAGTACAGTACTAAATGACCTCAAGTTCAATAATTCTACTAAATAAATAATAATTGTATTTAGACTCATGAATCCCAATATAATCAAATATCATTCTAATACACCTAGATTGCAGAGGGTCCTTTTGATTTGTGACTCAGATATTTACTCATCCAGCTATTCATGCATTCAACAGATACATGAGTCTCCTCATGCTGAGGAGTCTCGTAAGTGTTAGGGATATTAAGATAAAAAGACACAGTTCTTGCCCTCAGGTCAAAGTTTATACACTGAATAATAACAATAATAATGATAATGATAATAATAAAGCATGGATACATGGTCATTCAATTCCTGCATAATTATTTAGAAATTTGTAAAGCAATTTTGGAAGCAGTATTTACAGTGTGTAGAAGAAAAAAACCTCACCTCTTGCATGATTAATACATTTATTTTTTTGCTGTATGGCAGCAGGGATCTCATGTAAGTGATACTTTTAGAAGTCAGGCTGAAAGAAAAAAACAATTCTTTTAAATATAAGAAAAATTCTCAAGCCAAGAGTGAAGAACAGACAGCATGCATGCATCAAACCTATTTTCTTTTAGTGTTCACCAGCTTCAAGGGACACAGTCTTGTCTTTCAATAACTCAGAAGGTAAGTGTTTAATACATATTCTTTTATTATGCCAAAAGCGTAGCTTTTAAATGTCTCTCCTATGTATAATAAATTTAAACATGATTAGAATTAATACTGGATTCCAAAGTAGGATTTTGTTTTTAGTTGTCATCTGGACCCAGGTGTTACCAATCGAAGTTCTAGTTATTTTTTTCCCTGATTAGTTGATCCAGTTTTAATTAAATACACTGTTAATATGTACAATTAAGTGCTTTAATTTTCTTAAGACATTAAGAAGAAAAATATTATTTTCTATTAAAGTAATTAGATATATTTATTATATATAATCCATTCTAATTGAAAATATTTGGTATATTTACAACACCCCAGAGCAACATCATTATGTTCTAATAATAGTTGAAAGAATGATCACTTTCTAGATAGTTCTATTTTTTAGAAAATCATTGTATTTTTTAATTAATAGCTCAATAAAATTGTATCCTATTTAGGTTCACAGTGTGTCACTTTTACTATAATGAAATAATAGCTAGTGTTTTTACCTAAGTAAGCAAAATTTCCAAAATACAATTACTTTTAATATCATAGAGACAATTTTATAAAAATTACATGAATTATCTTCCTTATATTTCTGCTTCTAAATGTATCATATATCAGGGTGCCTGGGGGGCTCAGTCAGTTAAGCATCCGACTTTGGATTTTGGCTCAGGTCATGCTCTCATGGTCCTGAGATTGAGCCCAGTGTCAGGCTCCACACCCAGGTTAAGATTCTCTTTCTCCCTCTGTCCCTCCCCCACTCTCTTATGTGCTCTTTCTCTCAAAAAAAAAATTTTTTATCACATATCAATTACATATGTTAAAGTAAATACATGCATTTACATTACAAAAAAAACATTATATTTTTGGGGGCGGCTGGGTGGCTCATTTGGTTAAGTGTTTTGCTCTTGGTTTCAGCTCAGGTCATTATCTCAGGTTTGTGAGACTGAGCACCACTTCCAGCTCTGAGCTGACAGCACAGACCCTGCTTAGGATTCTCTCTCTCTCTTTTTCTCTCCCCGTCTCTCTGCCCTTCCCTCGCTTGTATGTATGCTCGTGCTCTCTCTCAAAATAAATGAATAAACATTAAAAAAATCCCACATTATATTTTTGATATCTTAGTGTTAACTTTAATACTTTAGCTATTTATATATGTTGAAAATTACAGATCATTCAGCTGGTGCCTTTTTGGAAATTTGTGGAAAATATTATGTGTCCTTAAAGAAGAAACCACTGGATGTAAGTTACTATAAGAAGGCCTTTCTCACTTTGCATTAATTCCTAGGCTACCTACATACTTCCTGAGAATCATTCTTTTAGTGTGAACTACTGTAAGGTTTTGATGTTTAAAGTCAATTCATGTAATAAAAAGAGATTTTAAATATGCTCTGTTAGATCAACTACCTTTGCATATGTCTGTTTTTTATTTTTTATTTTCAGGACTGAGATTTTTACTTTCTGTTTTGCTTGTGGATAGGTCTTGAAAACAGGTGTTTTCATTGTTTCTAAGACATCTTCTTCCCCTAATCCTAGCTCTGAGCTCTCCTGCATTTATAGTGAAAAGAAATACTGTACAAGGGAATGCCTTGTATCCTGCCTTTTGTAATCCAGTTTATTCTAGGCATGAATGATTTCTAACCATGCATGAGACATTCATCTCTAGATCAAGTTTTCCCATTATTGGCTCCATACTCCATATCATGTCTACATTCTGCCATACTCCCGGTCTGCACTCTAGTACAGTGCTCCATGTACTTTATGTGCATAAAAATACAAATTCAGTAAGTTCAGGATGGGATTTAAAATTGCATTTTAACAAGCTTTCCTGTGATACTAATGCTGTTGGTTGGAAAACCAAATTAAGGGTATTAAAGCAAGTTTATTACATAAAGCCCAAGAGAATCCTATAGTAAAGAAAACTTTTACCTGAAGTGTTTTTTGTTGTTTTCTAGCTGGAATAATAATCCGCCCACCCTCCCACCAATCAACCCCCCCAAATGCTATTCAACATCTCATAGAACTAATGTTCCACAGGATGTATTTTGAGATACATCATGCTAGATCAGTATTCTCAGTGTTAATAGTGCATCAGAATCCCCTGAAAGACTTTGGTAAAATAAAGATTTCCTGCTCTGCCCTTAGGGTTTCTGATTCAGTAGAACTGAGGTTAAGACCTGAGTGGCTGCACTCATAAGCTTCCCCCTGATGCTAATGCTACTGATCTGGAGACCATGCTGAGAGTCATTGCTCTAGTTTCTTTAGATTCTGTACCTGTGGCAAACCAGATTACCAGGTATTTTCAAACATATCTTCTGTTTCTTTAGCCTCACTTTTAACTTTCCTTTAGGCTGTGATATACGTGTGTGTGTATGTATAGAACATATAGATGCTCTATTATATATCAATACATTATATTACATATTAATATATCATATAGTATTATATAGTATATTATAATATATATTACACACATTTATTATTTCCTCTCTTCTCTTTTGAGACTTGATTCTTGTTCTATGTCATTCCTCAAAATCAACTGAATTGTTTAATATTTGCACGTTTTTATGCCATGCTTCTCATTCCCTTTAGAAAAATCAACAAGATATCATCATATACCATGACACAAACTTACACATATATTTATTCTTATTATAGAACATTACATTGACCAAAACCACAAGTAATGTTATTTCAGTATGTTATCTTCCACTTTATTTTCTCAAAATATACATGAAAAAAACAGCACAGTAGAAAAATTGAGTTCCTACTTGTAAACATTTTTATTTTTACCATGGAAAAATATATCATTGGAAGGGAAACAAGGGATAGACCATAGTTAATTAAAAAATTATCCATTCAACAAATCCCAAGTCTAGCCATAAATTGACTACATTGAATATATTCCTTATTCCATGATCTTAATCTTGAGGAGTAACTGGTGTCAAAATAAATATGACTATATTGTCAGTTTGTCTAACAGGATATGAAGATCACATTTCTCACAAACCCTTGTACTGATAGGAATTTAACAGACATTTATTAAGTATGTGATACAAATCTCTTCCTTCTATCTAAACCTTCATTTTTATTTTTCAGGAATGTTTTCATAAGTCCTAACTGGTTTAACATCTCAATCAGTGAATCTGAAGTAAGGCTTTTTAAAAATTAAAAAAGTTTTTTTTCCTCTCTTATTGAATTTATTCTTTTCCTGTATTTCATGACTATATTCATTGTTCATGAGGTACTGGCCTTTGTTCTTGCTCTCTTGTTACTTCAGTCTTCTGTCTTCCATTCCAGTGGTCATTCAATCTAGTTGTACACTGTTCTGGACAAGACCCATGATACCATTTTCAGAGGAAAAAAGTTCTCTCTGGTTCATTCATTTTCTGTGAAACCTGGTTTGATGTTTTCTTAGGAATGAATCTCTTGTTTATCTCTGGACAAAATGCTTAGCTCTCCAAATTTTTGTTCCTCTTGCTTTGCATTTGAACTTTTTATTCTGCTTTGCAGATATGCAGGCTAAACCCATGTCTCTTATATTACAGTTCCCCAAAAAGCCAAACTCTACTCAACCTTCAAAAAGGAAAGCAGTATTTAGTTTCTGCAGTGTGAAGTTTCTGTTTCCCATATCAAGAAAATAATATACATAAAATGATTTTAGAAAACGTAGAATGAAGTGTTTTCTTTGGGGACATTTTGAGGGATTTCAGAAGAAGAATTGTCATTGTTTCATTTGAAAAGTGAATTCTTGAACCTTTAAAATTTATGACACCAGCTATGAACAATAGATTATGAGTAAAATAGATTCAATTTCAGTGCCTATAAAAGTGAAAAATATTCTCTCCCTTAGGCATACATATTTTCTCTGCTGGGTTTCATTGAAAGCTGACTTTTTGTGGAAAAAAAAAAGTAATGGCCTAGAATTATGAGTTCAATAATATAAAGGAAATTTTAGGTGAATTTGCTCCTCTGTACATTTTATTGATTACATGTCCAATTATCAGCTAAGATTATTAACATGGAAAAAAGAATTGATTTATCTAATTTAATAATTTTTGAGAGATGAAAATAAAATGTCCACAATTACCACGATGGATTTTTGTTAATTTCTTTGTACTTACTCTTCTGGATATTCTCTTTGTAACTTTCCACAGAACTATTTAGACTAGGTATGCAGATCGTTCTATCAACTTGATTAAAGAGAAAAAAAATGTTTTACTTTCATTATAGTTTGAGGTATCTATCTTCTCAATATACTATAAGCAGATATCTACTATCAAGGTCAACTTTCATTTGAGAATAATGTTTCTTACTGATTTACTTTTGAAAACATTCTTTATAACCTCTATTCACTCATCTGTTCAGTTGGTTTTCGATAATTTTCAAGGAAAATGCTTCCAAGTTTCCCTGTATCACATAATGAAACTCTTTCTTTCTGAAAAGAGCACAAAAATTGGCTTACTTGTTTTGATAAAAAATGTAGATCTCCAAGGGATTTTATAGTATTTAATTTTATATGTATATGGAATTATATATTTTATAGCAGGTAGTTGGTTTATTTTTCTCAATGGCTTAATAGACCTTTCAGAAGACCCTAAATAGCCATAACAATGTTGAAAAAAGACAAGCAAAGCAGAAGGCATCACAACTACAGACTTCAAATCGTATTACAAAGCTATAATCATCAAGGCAATATGGTACTGACACAAAAACAGTCACATAGATCAATGGAACAAAATAGAGAACCCAGAAATGGACCCACAACTATATGGTCAACTCTTCTTTGACAAAGCAGGAAAGAATACACAAAGAAAAAATGTTTCTTCAACAAATGGTGCTGGGACTATTGGACAGTGAAATTCAGAAGAGTGAAACTTGACCATTTTTTTATATCATACACAAAAATAAATTCAAAATGAATGAAAGGCATAAATAACCATCAAAATCCTCTTTGGGGCAACCTCTTTAACCTCAGCTGGAGCAGCT